ACTATAGCTCAGGGGTCTCAGGGGTGGGATGGGGGCGGGGGGGGGGCGGTTAGGACTGACTTCAAAAGAGCCATTGGGGATTTGGGGGGTGATGGAAATGTCCTGTTCTCGATTGCGTTGGTGGTTACATGACCACAGGCCTTTGTCAACACTCATAAAACCATACATCAAAAAGGGTGATTTTGGGGACTTCCCTGGTGGCATGGTGGTTAAGAATCGGCCTGCCAATGCAGGAGACACGGGTTCGAACCCTGGTCCGGGAAGATCCCACATGCCGTGGAGCAACTAAGCCCGTGCGCCACAACTACTGAGCCCGCGTGCCACAACTACCGAGCCCACGTGCTGCAACTACTGAAGCCTGCGCACCTAGAGCCCGTGCTCTGCAACAAGAGAAGCCACCACAATGAGAAGCCCGCGCAGCAACAAAGACCCAGTGCAGCCAGAAAAAAGGGGGGGGGGGGATTTTTACTCAGTGCAAATTCTTTATTAAATTTTTTTTTTAATTTAGAACATTTTGAATTTTATTTTTTGGCCAAGCTGTGTGGCACGTGGAATCTTAGTTCTCCAACCATGGATCGAACTCGTGTCCCCTGCAGTGGAAGCGTGGAGTCCTAACCACTGGACTGCCAGAGAGGTCCCCTGTATGCAAATTCTACTGCAGTTTTTAAAAACTTCATGGGAGAGTAAACAGTACATTTGAGAATTAGTGACAGATCTGGAGAAAATCAACCTACTGCAACACGAAGAACAGGAAGAAAGAAAGATGCGTGGAGAGACAGATGGCAGAGGGGTGAGAGGTCTAATGTCGGAGTTGAGCTCCAGAAGAGAATGCGAGACAGGTAATATCTGAGGACGATTGGCTTACGGTGCCAATCCAGAGATTCAGGAAAGCCAGAAGGTCTCAAACAGGATAAAGAAAAGATTCCCCGCAGACACATTTAGGCCAACGGTAAACTCGGGAGGCAAGGAGAGGTCACAGGAGTGGAGGGAACACACAGATCACCTGCAGAAGGACAGTTAGACCGATGGCTAACTTCTCAGTGGTAACTACAGAAACCGGAGAGTTCTTCCGAGGGTTGGGATAAACAGAGGCTCCGTGGGGTGCCGCGCGGATGGCTTCACGGGAGCCGCTTCTTTAGGGTGTCCCTCCACCCACCGTGCCCGCTCGCGTGGGCACAAGTCTGAGGACAGGACGCTCTCAGGAAGGCTGGGGGCGGGGATGCAGCGGCTTCCAGGTGGCAGCTTCTGCTTTGTGTCTCCGCACGACCTGGAGGACCCATCCTTCCAGCTGAGAGCACTGGACGTAGATTTTGGCAACAGACCTCACAGAGCTCAGAAAGGGACCAAAGGATCGAGTGACGTTTCGACAACAAAGCTCTCTGGTGCCATCGGCTTATTTATGGGAATGGGGTTTTTCCAGTGTTTTGATTTATAAATTGGAAAAATAAGAATAGAGTTGACGCTGAGCCTTGTGGGCATAGGAACTAACTGAAGAAAACAGATTAGCCCTCTCCATCTATTAAATTTTACTTTTTATGTTTAGTAATTATTTACCATAACTGTAACACACTTGTCATTTTGATTACTTGCATACCAATAATAATCGTACCGATTTCTCAATCCAGAAGATTATTATTATTATTTTACGGTACGCGGGCCTCTCACTGTCGTGGCCTCTCTCGTTGCGGAGCACAGGCTCCGGACGCGCAGGCTCAGCGGCCAGAAGATTATTATTTTTGAACACTTAGAGCCTTGTGGTCAATTCTGGAGCACATTTCTATTGCAGGGACGCATGATCGGGGGTCTATAAAATAATTCCAAGCATAAAATACATTAGATCTGTGGGGGCAATGGAGCGGGAATAGGGATTCACAGAGAGGAGTGTGGGGTGATGGGCAGCATCCAGTCGTAGACGGAGTATTGGATGGTACCTGACAGTCCCCTTATTTGCCTTTTCATGGCTCTGTCGTGATGCTCTGGGGGTGCGGGTTCGCAGACACGGCACACGTGTCCAGAGCTGCGGCTGTGGCCTCGCCACCCGCCTCCTCTGTCTCTTGTACCAGAAGGCATCGATGTGCCCGGGGGAGGAGAAGCTGGCAGGCCACAGCACCCCTTTGCACACTTGCCAGGGAACGCTCCCAGGAGCACCGGTGGGCACAGTCTAGACTGCTCTTCAGCAGGAGGGAGCCTTCGCTGCACCAGAGAGTGGCACCTCCCCTCCAGCCTTCTGAGAGGCAGCACCTGGGGCCTTCCTGGGTGACGAGACCTGCAGGTGCCTCGCTCCCCATCCTTGCCCCGCGTGCCCAGGGGGGCGAGGGCAGCAGAATGGTTGCACCAAGGCCACGCTGTCATCTGCGTGCCTCGGTGCTCGTGGGCCGGCCTGGCCGAGGGGTCCCCCCAGGAGGGCCGAACAGCCATCCCAGGGCCGTCGGACGACCAGCACAGCTGCTGGACCGGTGGGTCCCGGCCCGGCCCTGCTCAGTCCTAACCCTGATCAGTTCTAACCCTCGGGGGATGCAGTTCCGGGGTCTGAGGTCCCCCTGGAGCCTTTGTGAGCTCAGTTCCTGCCAGCACAGAGCATCTGTGCCCACCCTGCCGTGTGTGTGGTGGCAGCAGGAATGCCTGCGAGGCTGGTCTGCCACGTTCGCGCCCCCTTCGCTCTCTGCTTCTCGTTTCTCCCAGTTTTATTGGGATACCATTGACATACAGCACTGTATACGTCTAAGGTGTGCAGCATAATGACCTGACTTACACATCGTGGAGTGATTATCACAGTAAGCTTAACGAACGTCCGCCATCTCACAGATAGAACATTAAATAGAAAAAAAATGTTTTCCTTGTGGTGAGAACTCAGGATTTACTCTTAACAGCTCTCATACACGTCATGTGTAACCTACAGCAGTGTTATATTTGTCATGTTGTACATTACATTCCTAATACTTATTTATCTAATAAAGGGAAGTTTGTACCTTTCGACCGTCTCACCCAATCCCCCTGCTTCTGGTAATGACAAACCTGATCTCTCTATGAGTTTGTTTTGCAGTATGAATGATTGGCTTAGACGCTGTTAACTCCTGCTACTTCGCTTTTCTCTGAAGTCGTCTTCTTTTCCAGATAAATGCCCAGCAAGTCGCTGTTGAAACCCAACAGCAAAGTGACCTGCACACCGCAGCCTGCCTTGAAGACACCACTACCGCCCGTCTCCCAGATGCCCAAGGCCCCAGAGACCCAGCAGGTGCAGGGGAGGCCCTGTATCTCCAAGTTCAAAGTGAAGGGCGAAAGCAGGCAATGTCGTTTCCGCCTGGTGGTCACTTTGCTACTCCTGGGCCCCCCCTCCCGGAAGTGAGGGGCAGGAAGGCTCGGGACAGGCCACAGCCGAGGTGCTTCTGCTCGGTCTCCCGCGGCAGCGGCAGCGCCTGCGGTGCCCCCACGAGTGGCTGCATGCTCCCAGCCCCCAGCCTCCACTTCAACCTCTTCCCGGAACCCGTGGGCAGGCTCGGGGCCTCCGCACACGCTGCAGCTTCTCTCCTGTCCCCACGCGCCCGGCCACTCCGCAATGCTCAGTAAAGGTGACGTCGGAATTCTGTGTTCTGCTGGCCAACATCAGTATCACGAAACTTCTAAAGGCTCAGCCGTTGTCTTCAGTCACCTGCCTGGGCCTCTTCCCGTCTTCTGACACAAGCGTGACTGAATGTAAAAGAAAAGGCAGGCTGAGGAGGCAATCTGGTATTTCCAGCAATCCTATCACCCAGGGGCACGTGTTCACTATTTTTTTAAATTTTATTTATTTAAAAAAATTAATTTACTTACTTATTTTTGGCTGCATTGGGTCTTCATTGCTGCACGCAGGCTTTCTCTAGTTGCGGCGAGCGGGGGCTACTCTTCATTGCGGCTTCTCATTGCGGTGGCTTCTCTTGTTGCGGAGCACGGGATCTAGGCACACAGGATTTGGTAGTTGTGGCTCGCGGGCTCTAGAGCACAGACCCAGCAGTTGTGGCACGCAGGCTCAGTAGTTGTGGCTCGTGGGCTCTAGAGCACAGGCTCAGTAGTTGTGGCTCACGGGCTCTAGAACGCAGGCTCAGTAGTTGTGGCACCCGGGCTTTGTTGCTCTGCGGCATGTGGGATCTTCCCGGACCAGGGTTTGAACCTGTGTCCCCTGCATTGGTGGGCAGATGATTCCTAACCACTGCATCACCAGGGAAGAAGTCCGTATGTGTTTTTAAACAGATGCTTTATTGAGATACAATCCACAGACCGGGAAGCCACCTCTCAGAGGCTGTGCGTGGCTGTGCCACCCCCCGGGTCCCGTGCGAAGCCTGGACCGAAATGTGAGCGGGTTCGGTATGCAGAGTGCGTTTACAGCCCCGAGAGGTCCGGGCTGGTGCGACCCGAGTCCTGGTCCGCGTGCTCTCCCGTAAGCTGCCCGCTCTGCCCCATGACGTCCACTCGGGCGACAGCGAGCACACGGGACGCCAGGACTCATGGTGGTGATTCTGCCAACACAAGGAGCTGCGGTTCATTCCCATTAAGGCTCTGTCAACACGTGACTTTTGGAAACGAAGCTTTCTCAGAGACGGCGGTCAGTGCTCTGAAGCCTGTTTCCTGGACACTCGTCTCACACACGCGATGACTAATCGTGAATTACAGCCGCGGTGACCTCGCAGCGCATCCTCTGGTCTCTGTGACGCCTCGCAGGGAACGGCTACTTAGCAGCCGGCCGTTCACCCCAACAGCGAGGGACTCAGGGCCACCTCTCCCACGCAGGGTGGTGGCTTACGCTGTTAGAAGAACTGAATTCCTGAAGGTACCTCAAGGCTGATCCCCAACTTACAGCCTAACGCGTGGCAGACGCCACCCCATCAGCTCCGGGAGAGTGTAAACAGTTTCACTGGAGACTTGCTTCCAGAAAGACCACCCGACGGGGCTGACCTTGTGCCCCCTGGAAGGTCTCAGGCCTGGGCCGGAGCCTTGTGTCCAGGGCAGCAGCGTGCTTGGGGACCGAGGCTCGCTCAGCTGAGGAATCCCCGTCTCCTGCTCGTGCGTCCAGCAACCGGTGCTCGGGATGTTTCCAGAAAGGAGGCGGCTCCCCCACCACGAGGGCAGAGCCCCGGCCTAGGCTGCCTTCTGCCTCTGCTCCTCCTGCGGGGGTGGCGGTTGGCAGGGGTTGGCAGGCGCCACCCGCCACTCACTCCTTGCGGCCGGCCCCGCCCTCCACCCCCAAGGGCAGAGACGCCCCATCCCCACGCCCGCTCGGAAAGCCAGTTCGGTGCCGGACCCCTCCGGGCTGTGGGCCCCCCTGCCGTCTCCTCCCTCCACCTTGGCTGTCCCAAGACGAGCCCCCGTGGCGCCTCACCCTGACGGCCCTCTCCAGCTGGGACAAGGCCTCCTGGTACCGTGGGACCAGCGGCTGCAGGAGCTCACTGGGGGTGTCGTGCCGCTCCAGCCTGGGCACCCCGCCTTCCCTGAGCATCCGGACGAACCTCCTCTCCTGCGGGGAAGGAGCACGTGAGAGGAAGAGGCTCCCGCCCCGCCCGGGCCCCACCTCGGGCTGAGACCCCCAGGCTGACCTGCACCTCGAGGAGCAGCGTGAAGGCCTGTCCGGATTTTCCGGCGCGGGCAGTTCTTCCAACCCTGAAACAGAGCACAGCCTCCTCCAGAGCCGTGGCCCCCAGCCCCTGAGGGCTGTTGGGACCAGGCTTTCTCCACAAGCCACCCCCTCCCCAGACCCAAGGCTAGTCCCGCACCGGTGCACGTAGGTCCGCAGGTACTGGGGGGCATCGTAGTTCACCACCAGCTGCACGCCCTGCACGTCGATGCCGCGGGCCGTGGCGTCGGTGCTGATGAGGCTGGCAGGACACGAGGGGCCGCGGGCCCTGCCTGAGGCCGGGAGCAGGGACACACGCCCCTTCCCGCCCTGCTGGGGACCCCGCCACGGAGCTGGGGAGGGCCCGAGGTGCCCTTCAGGAACCCAGGCTGACGCCGGAGCGAGCGCCCTCCCCAGAGCAGGACCCCGGCCTGTCTTCCTAGGTACTCACAGCTGGATCTTCCCCTGCTGAAAGCGCTTCAAGATCAGCTTCCTAGCGCCAGGCCCGTAGCGGGAGGAGAAGTCGGCCACGCGCACGCCCCCGAAAGCCTGGACTAGCAGGAAGAGCCTGGGCGGGAGAGGCCAGAGCCGGGTGGGCTGGGGGAACCACCTCCTCTCCCCTCCAGTCCCTGCACCACACGGGCCTCACCTGTGGGAGTTCTCACGGGAGTTGGTGAAACACAGGACCCTTGAGAGATTCATCTCCAGGATCAGGTGCAGGACGACCAACGGCTTGAGACGGAGGCTGCAGGGCACGTAGCGATGCTGCGGGGGACGGTGCGAGGTTGGCCACAGCCCGGTGCCTAGACGCGCCCCCTCCCCCCTCCAAGTGCCCTGCTCACCGTGAGCCCCGCAGGGAAGGTATACTTCCCACCCAAGTCCCCGGCCACGTCCACGTCGGGGTCTCTGAGGCCCCCGTGCACCGACCCCGTGGAAAAGAGCCGGGGCCGGTAGAGGCCGAGCTGCTGCAGCTTTTCGGGGTTCTGGGTCAGAGTGGCTGAGAAGAGTAGTTTCTGCAGTGGCATCTGGGGGCAGCAGACGCTGGAAAGGGAGGGCACGCTGGGAAAGCAGCACCCCAGCCTGGTGGGAGAGCGTCTCAGACGGGGGACAGCAGAGGGGACCAGCTCAGGGTGGCCCCACTGGGCGCAGAGCAGAGTGCAGGGCCTGGTACCTGGCTGCAGTCACAGCCCGGGGCTGTGTTCTCTGGAGCAGAGCAAAGGGATCCCTACTGCCCTCACTGGGAAAGGCCGCGGCCACCACCCGCGGCAGCCAGGCCTGGTGCATGCTGTCTATCACGCGGTCGGCCTCATCGATGACCTGCGGGGCGGGGGGGCGGTGGTCAGCTTAGGGTCTGGGCCCGGGCCTCCCTCCACGTGGGCCACCTACCAGGAAGCGGAGATGCTGGAGGCTGAATCCTGGGGTCTGCTCGACGTGGTCTACCAGGCGGCCAGGGGTGGCCACCACGATGTCTGCCAGGCAGCGGAAGCCGTCTGCTCTGTGGAGCGGAGAGTGGCTCAGGAGGCCACCCTGCACTGACCACCCCCCGACGTGGGGACCCTGTGGACGGCGGCGCTCCGCTCCCCGGGGCCAGATGGCTACGATGCGGCTGCACAGAGCGAGCCCACCTCTGGGAGGAGCCCACAGACCAGAGGAACCTACGTGTCCTGCACGAGACTCTCCCGCTCCTTGGCCAGCGACTTCTGCCCGGTGACCAGGGCGACCCGAAGAGGAGTGGCATCTGTGTAGACGCTGAACACTTTGCTCACCTGGAGGAAAAGCAGCCATGAACAGCGCGACCTGAGGCCCCGCGCCGCAGTGACGAAGCCCCCGGCTCTGACCTCCAGGCATGGGCCCACGTACCTGCTGGGCCAGCTCCTTGGTCGGCAGCACAACCAGGGCCCGAACCTGGCACACGGCTCGCCGTAGCAGGGCCTGTGGGGTAGACAGCCGCCCGCATCAGCCTGCCCCCCGCGTCCGCCCGCGCCCGTGTCAGCCGCTCCTGCCTGCAGACCCGCCTGGAGGGCGAGGGCTCCCTGCGCTCACCTGCACCACGGGGATGACGAAGGCCAGTGTCTTCCCACTGCCCGTTGGGGCAGACACACAGAGGTCGCTAGGCCGGTAGCCGCCTCTGCTTACCAGAAACCCGTTGGCTGCGCTCTCCAGGAGAGCGGGAATCACTGCTGCCTGCACTGGACAAGGAACGGCGAGACGCACGTCACATCGGTGCAGGGACACCCAGTACCAGCACAGGCACTGGAGACGGCCGCCTCCCTGTCTGTGACCTCTGGGCTGGGCTCTCGCTCAAGGTCCGCACCAGAGCCTCCCGGAGTGCTGAGAGGCTGGAGGTGCCGAGTCCAGGACCACACCTGCCACTGGACGTGTGCACAGGCTGCCTGTGTGGACAGCTGCTGAGCGAGGGCCTTGCACGGTTCTGGGAGAAGATGCTCTGGAAGGAAACCCTGCTCCCACCGCCACCCCATCCCACCTGCGCAGGGCAGGGGCACCTGGAAAGTAGGACGAGATGCCCTGAGCCCGCAGCCTCTTCCGCAGGTCCGGGTGGACTTCCGGGATATCCTCAATAGGCACCAGGCCTTCGGTGACACTCTTTCCAACGCAGCTTGGCTCAGCCAGCCACGCCGGCAGGAAAGGCTGGACCTATCACAGAGGGAAAGAGAAAGACGCGGTGGACACTCCCGAACCCGCCAGGCCAGCAGAGCAGGGCCCCATGAGCCAAGCGCTCAGGACACTCAGGCTGAAGAGGCTGCAGGAAAGAGGCAAACTTTCTAGCTTCTCCTAGACCGCCCACGTCTCACTCTCCGAGAAGCCTTTAAAAGGTGTGAAAAATACATACCAGAAAGCGCCACTCCCTGAGCCAGACCACCCAGGGGCACCTTCGCACCTAGTGACACCCGTGCCCCAATGACATCTGTGCTCCGGACTACACCCGCAAGGTGCCCGTGACCTGTTTGCTATCACTGGCTCTGCACCAACCGTACAAAGCCTCTGTCGTTTTACACAACAAACTCATTGCTACCTCGGGGCCTTTGCCCCAACTCGGCCCTCTCCCTGGCACACACCTCCCTGCCCCCACCACACCTTAACCAGGCTGATTCCTGTCTTCTGATTCCAACTCAAAGTGGATCTCCCCAAGGGCACTCTGCCCAGCCTCTCTTATTCTTCATGATGACGATCACGCTCCAGACATCCTTTAACTCACGTATTCGACTACTGAAATCTTATGCTGACATGAATCTGCTACTCGCCCAGGAACCTGGTAGACCTGGTAGGATCTCCCATCTTGTTCGCTAGATTGGTGAGCACAGTGGAATGGGCACCAAGGAAGCGAAGCTGTTTAGAGAGATCTCTGTGACAGCAGCACGGAAACCAAGTCAACCCGCTGGTTTCGGAAAAGAAAGAGAACTCTTACAATTGAAAGTAGAAGTGCCGAGTTTGCACAGGATTCAAACCGTAAACAAGGATGCTAAGACATCAACAGTCGACCGGCTCAGGTGTTCACTCACCGAACACAAACCATACACCCATCAGGCGCAAGCACCGTCCTCCAAGCCGCCCCACGAACACAAGCCGCGGTAACGACAGCCACCCCAGCGCTGCAGCCTCCCCCCCGGGCCGCTCACCTTTGGCGCCTTGCTTCTCCCGAAGCCCCCGAGCACCAGGGCGTGGGCTGGGGGACCAGAAGCCTCTTCGGGGGGCGGCCCGCCCTGGCCCTCCGGCGACCCCGCGGCTTCGGTGCCCACGCTGTTCCCCGCCGGCGCCTCCTCGCTGCTGTCTGCGCGGCAGAAACGGGGGCGGGGCGGCGCGTCAGCCCCACGCGGTCCCGAGTCCCAGGGCCCCGCCCCGCGAGGCCCTACCTGCGCCCGCGTCCTCATCCTCGTCGTCCGCCTTCCGCCGCTTGCAGGGAGGTGCGTGCGGGCTCCCCGGCGCCCCGCCGCTCTTGCGCCTCCGCGTTCTGCGCGGCCGCCGTCGCCGCTTCCCCGCCGCCTGAGCGGTCTGCGCGGCCTCCGCGGGCTCCGAGGGTTCTTGCTGCGGCGGCTGCTTCTGCAGCTCCCGCTCTCGGGCCCGGCACCGCAGCCGCTCCAGCAGCGCGCGAGCCCGGCCGTCCGCCTCGGCCTCCGCCCCGGCTGCCTCCGGGTCCGCGTACCGCGCAACGTGGAAGAGCGCCATGCCACCGCCGCGCGCCAGTCCGGCCCGACGCGCCACGATGACGAGGGCGCGACGTCATCAGGCGCCGGCGGTGACGTCAGTGGCGCGCCGGGAGGCGGAGCCGGTGGGCGGCTGGGTTGGTCTCTGCCGCGTGGGGTGGCGGCATGGAAGGGGAAGCCGGCCCTGGGGGCGCGCGCCGGGCGCTGGGCCGCCTGGTGGAGGCGGTGCTGGCAAACCGAGGCAAGGCCAACGCCGTGTTCGACATCCTGGCCGTGCTGCAGGTGGGGGCCCGTGGGGAGCGGCGGGGGTCGCGGCCGGGTCCCGGGGTTGGAGACCAGAATGGGGGCCTTCTCGGGCTCTGACGAGGTGGGGCTTGGGTTCGGAATGCGGCAGCTAATTGCAAAGCGGAGTTCAGGACTTTTCTGGGGGTATTCTCCAGTCTCGCAGGGCTCCCAGGTTGGAGGGTCGGGTGCGGGGTTTGGCAGAGGTGGGATGGGAGGGTCACGCGGGCTCAGGGGTGGGGTGGGGTGGGGCTGGGGTCCTGGTCGGGAAAGGGGGCAGGGGCCACAGCTTCAGGCAGGGCACCCCGCGACCGGCATCTCCCCGCAGTCTGAGGACCAGGAGGAGGTCCACGAAGCGGTGCGTGCATGCAGCCGACTTTTCGGGGCCCTGCTGGCCCGCGGAGAGCTGTTTGTGGGCCAGCTGCCCTCTGAGGAGATGGTCATGGCAGGTCAGTGTCCAGGAGGGCCTGGTCTCTGACAAGGTTAGAGGGGGATCTTGCTAACATGGGATGAGACCCGCCCCCCGGCCCCAGAACTCCATCATAGGCCATGCGGGTCGGTGGGATCGGGAGATTGTGTTTGGGGGAAGGGGTGGGTAATAGGGGCGTTGAAGCCAGGTGTAAGTAAAGGTTGGGTGGGGTGGAACTGTTGGTCTTGTTTTGCGCCTCTTGTGGGATTTGATGATGCGTATGGTTGACTGTTAATTCCATGGAGGTTTAGAGTTATGTGTCTCAGCCCTTGGCGCGTCTGGGTCTTGGGGTGAAAGGAGAGAGGATCCTGCCTGGGGGAACGTGCTGGTCCTGCCCCAGGTCTGGAACCACAGTGACTCGTTTTCACTCATTCCTCGGCTGGGCTGAGTAGAGGGCAGGGGGAGGGTGGGGCTGGGTCCCGTCTGGCGTGTGCGGGCGTCGGTGTGGGCTGACCGCCCTGCCCCACCTGCAGGGTCCCGGGGGGCCACTCGCAAGTACAGGGTGTGGATGCGGCACCGGTACCACAGCTGCTGCAACCGCCTGGGGGAGCTCTTGGCTCGCTCCTCCTTTCGGATCAAGGTGAGTCTGGGCCGCTAGCCTTGCTTGCCCGCGCAGGGGTCTGCGAGGGGTCTGGGGCCGTGGCTGCAGGTGCCGGTCCAGGTGAGGGTGCTGTCTCCTTCTGTGGCTGGTTCCTCTGGGTGTGGCTGCGTCCGTCCTGTCTCCTGATTCTCACAGGAGCTTTATCTTGCGGGTGTTCAGGCCTGAGGGCTGGGGGAGCTCTGTGGGCCTGTCTGCAGGGGTGACGTGTGGCGGGCGCCTCGCGGTCCCTTTGCCGCCCCTCCTAGGAGCTGGCCCTCAGCACCCTCATGAAGTTCGTGCAGCTGGAGGGCGAACACCCCCTGGAGAAGCCCAAGTGGGAAGGCAACTATCTGTTCCCCTACCAGCTCTTCAAGGTGAGGCCCAGGCTGCCCGCTTGCGGGTCTCCCCGGCTGCCTGTGGGTTGTGGGGTTTGGGGGGACTCTGGAAGCCCCCCCCAGACTCTGCTATGTGAGCTCCACACCTGGGCCGCCTGTCCTGGGGGTCAGAGAGGTGCTCACCACCTTGTTCCCCCTCCCCTGCAGTCGGTGGTAGGAGGCCTGCTCTCTCCAGAAGAGGACCGCTCCCTGTTGCTCTGTCAGTTCCGGGAGTACCTGGAACACGACGACATCCGCTACCACACGATGCAGGCCGCGGCGGACGCTGTGGCCCGGGCCACTGATGGGCGCCCTGAGGTGAGCCGCCTGGGTCCGGGGAGGATGGGGGCAGGGGGGTGATGGGCACGCGGCGTCCAGGTGCTCAGGCCAGGTCTGCGGCAGGTGCCCCTCGCTTTTTGGAACAACGCCTTCACGCTGCTGTCCTCCGTGAGCCTGCCCCGCCAGGAGAGCGCCCACCCCAGCTTCTACGTGAAGCACGCGGGTAAGCGCCGGGGCTGGGAGGGCGGGAGGGCAGGGGCCCGGCCTTCTCCCGTGTCGGGTGACCCCTCGCTTTATCTGCAGAGCTCTCGGACAAGTGGAAGGTCATTCATCTGAGGGTGAGACGCCCTGGGTGGGTGGTGGTTTCCCTGGGAATCCCCCGGTCCTGGGCTAGCGCCCCCTTCCTGGCCTTGTCAGCCACCGGGGTCACAGGAGGCCCCGAGGGCCCAGGCACGGTTCCCGGAGGTCAGAGGCGGCCTGCCCAGACCTCTCTGGGGCTGAGTGTCACTGCCAGGGCGGCTGTGAACACAGGGCCTGTGGCCGAGAGGGAGGTGTTCTCTCGCTGGGGTTTCTTAGGCCCTGGCTCCGTAGCGGAGGCAGGAGGAGAGTGGGCACGACTGGGAGCGTGGGCACACCCACCCTGCCGCCTCCCCACAGGAGCACAGGAAGGCCTTCCAGCAGATGTGGCTCGGCTTCCTCAAGCACCAGGTAGGGGTGGGGGAGGGACCCCGGGGCTGGGCTCCAGCAGGCGGGGCGGGCCTCACCGACCTGACTGCTGCTTCCGGCAGCTGCCTCTCCGCATCTGCAAGAAGGTGCTGGTGATCATGCATGACTCCATCTTGCCTCACCTGGCACAGCCTAGCCTCATGATCGACTTCCTCGCCCGCGCCTGTGACGTCGGTGAGCAGGGAGCGCCTGGCGGGCCCGGAGCCGGGAGCAGCAGGACCAGGGCGGCGGTGGGGCGGGGGGCTCTGCAGCCCCGGGCCAGGCAGCCGGCGGGGGTGTGCCGTCGGGTTGGGCTCCACGGCTGCGTGTCTGTTTGCAGGTGGAGCCGTCAGCCTCCTGGCTTTAAACGGACTTTTCATCCTGATTCATAAGCACAACCTGTAAGTGTCCGCCTCGGGGTCTGAGGGCTTTTCAGCTCTGCCCGTTCATCCGTGACCCCGGCCGGGATTCCTGATCTGTTCTGTTTGTGGCTCTGCCCCGACACGTGCTCCGTCACTCACCTCCGCCTCCAGGGAGTACCCTGACTTCTACCGGAAGCTGTATGGTCTGCTCGACCCGTCTGTCTTCCACGTCAAGTACCGGGCGCGCTTCTTCCACCTGGCTGACCTCTTCTTGTCGTCCTCGTGAGTGGGGGCGGGGCTGGGGACACCTGGCCTGGCTCAGAGCCGCAGGGCTGCCTGGGCCCCGCCCATCCCTGTGGGGCTGCGGGCCCGCAGGCCAGGACGGGAGCTGGGGGCTGGCATGGAGGAGTGGAGTCTTACGCCTCCCCCCTGCACCCCCCAGGCATCTGCCTGCCTACCTGGTGGCTGCCTTCACCAAGCGCCTGGCCCGCCTGGCCCTGACGGCGCCCCCCGAGGCTCTACTCACAGTTCTGCCCTTTATCTGCAACCTGCTGCGCAGACACCCAGCCTGCCGCGTCCTCGTGCACCGCCCCAGGGGCCCTGGTGAGTGTGGCCGGAGCCCCTGGGAGGCCTGGCCAAGAGGCCAGCACGTAGGTGCAGGTGGCAGAATGGAGCCTGGGTCTCGTTCCTAGAGCTGGACGCCGACCCCTATGACCCCCGAGAGGAGGACCCTGCCCGGAGCCGAGCCCTGGAGAGCTCCCTGTGGGAGCTGCAGGTGAGGGCGCCCTGCCTTCCGGTCACTCCCTGGGCTTCCTGGAGCCGCCCCACCTGGGCGCTCCCCCTCGGCCTCCCACCCAGCCCCACCTGCACGCCCCTGCCAGCATCTCTTCCAGGTCCCCAAGGATCCCACCTTGCCTTGTCACTTCGCTCACCCAGGGGAGCCTTTGCCTCCGTCTGTCCTGTCCCTGGCCTGCAGAGGTGGTGGGATGGTCCCCTGCTAAGTGCGTCCTGTGCCCCTCGCTTTGCCCACGAGGGGCGGTGACATCCCACGTGCCTCTCCAGGCCCTCCAGCAGCATTACCACCCCGAGGTGTCTAAGGCCGCCAGCGCCATTAACCAGGCACTGTCCGAAGCCGAGGTCAGCATCGCGCCGCTTCTGGAGCTCACCGCCTTCCAGGTGAGGCTGTGAGGCGGGCCGGGCGCTGGGCAGTGAGGGCCGTGCAGCACAGGGCGCGTGACCGGCCGCCTGTCCCCGCCCCGCAGATATTCGAGCAGGACCTGCAGAAAAAGGGGCCCGAGCCAGTGCCATTGGAGTTCATCCCGGCCCAGGGCCTGCTGGGCCGGCGGGGCGACCTCTGTGCCCAGCACTTCACGCTGAGCTGACCTTGTGCGCCCCGCTGCACCCGACAGATGGTCTTGTGGGAAAGCTGCTGGGGGGTGCTGGTGGGCGGGGGTCTCGGGAGTTGCAGGTCCTTCACCTGTGCCCCTGGGGCTGGGGTCAGAGCGCTGGCGGGGTGCCCTCCCGTCCACCTGCCGCCCCTCCACCCGCCTACCCTGCTGGCCTCACCGGAGGGTGCTGCTCGGGGCCCTCCCTTCCCTGTGGCCTGGTGGGGAGGAGCGAGGTGGGGTATGGGGGGCGCTGCAGGGCAGCCCCTGCTTCTGGGGCCTCAAGTTACAAGCGTGCCGGGTCGTGGCTTCTGTCGGCCCCTGCGATTCCCCCCCAAGTCGCGCCAGGCCCTCTGCATCGCTGTGCTTCCTGACACGGGGCGGCCGTGAGAGCCTCTCTGCTGCAGTTAGACTGTGACGTGGGAGCGACGGGGTGGCTCTGTGCCCCGGTCAGCCTCGGCGGGGAGCACAGAGAGGGGCACGAGCTCTCTGTGCCTGGCCAGGCCCTACTGAGGTCACCTTTGTCCCCAGAAGCACAGTGAGTCCGGGGGTGAGCGTCTGCCCCATCGAGGGGTTACAGGCGGGGCCGGTCCATTCCTCTACCCCCTGAGCGGAGTGGGCCAGCAGCCCGGTTGTTTCCACGGGTATCTTTTAGAGGTTTCTTTTCTGCCAAAGGTGGCGGGTTTTCCGGCTCTGGTAGTGACCCTGTTTCCTTTAAAAAACCCGCTCGGTCCGGCAAACGCCTGGAGCCGGCCCACGGTTGGCAGGGGCTGGTGGGGGCACGGGGTGGGGCAGCCCACAGGGAGATAAGATACCTCGCTGCCCTTTGCTGCTCCTGGCCCCGCCCTGCTCCTCCCCCCGGGGAGCAGGGTGGGAGCTCGTGGTGGGCACCCTGGAGTCACAGCAGGGAAGGGTTCTGCCAGTCTGGTGTCCAGGTACCCCCCACCGGCCTGGGGTCCCAGTGCACCCTGCTGGTAGCAGCACACCACGTGGCCCCGCTGCCCTTCACCCGTCTTCCCACGTCTGTTACTGAGCTGGAAACCGCCTTGTCCCTGGGGCGCAGGGCTTGCCTGGAGCAGGGGGCGGGGGTGGGCGGTCTTGAGAGACCCGGGCCGTCTGGCACCAGGAGAGTCCAGTGGGCCAGAGGCCGCCGTGGCCTTGTGCGGGGATGCCAGGGGGCAGTGCTGGACGGCCTGAGGCCTCCCGCTTTTCTTGAAAAATGCTACTGTGTAAAAAAATTTACAAACTACAAAACACTTGAACAGGCTCTCTTGGTCTTGTCTGCATTCGGCGTCCTGCGCTCCCGTAGGTCCTGGCTGTGGCCCGTAGCCGCGCTGGTGCCCGGGCAGCTGCACTCTGCCGTGTTTGCCCTCCGACAGGTCCCCATTTCCTGTCCTCTGGCCCTGGTTGTCCGTGGGGGAAGAGGGGTGAGAGTGCCCTTCCCAGCGGCTGTGAGGGTGGCTGAGAGGCCGCGTGGTGGGTTGGAGGTAAGAACTGAACGGGGGGGCTGGGGCCACTGCTGGGGCTCTGCCTGTCCTTCAGGAGCCCGAGGGGTAGCCGGGACAGCCTCTGGGGCACGTGGGGCTGACTGCAGGGCTCCTGGCTCCAGGGGAGGTACAAGCTCAGACTTTCAAGGGCTTTGGAACCACCTGGGATCAAGTAAGATGTCTACGTGGGCGGGCGGAGGGAGGGAAGGGCCTCGGGCAGGCGTACCTGAGGGTGGAGGACATAGCGGCTCCCTGGTCTGTACCAGGAGACCATCCTGAGCCGCTTGTGAGCGACCCACCTCTGAGCCCAGAGACGAGAGTGCAGGCGCTTAGAAAGAGTAAACGTTTATATGTTTAAAAAGAAGAAAAGACAGGCACCAGCGAATCCGCTACTGGCAGCCTCAGCCCTCCAGGGCTCCCTTGGAGGAGGCTGAAGGGGAAGCCCGCTGCCCTTTGCTTAACTACAGCCCTGCCCCGGGTTGTTTGGCCTTTAGTAAGTTACAAAGCAGCTCGCGTCTAACTAGGAACTCCAGTGAAAGAGCAGCGTGTGGGGAGATGGGGAAGCCTGCTCGCTCCCCAGCCCCGTAACCCACCCTCTCCTCTGCCGCCACTTCGCCCGCACAGACCCTCATGCTTCCCGCGCCGGGGGAGAGGCCAGGTGCACCTGCCCAAAGCCTCCCTCCACCTGCCCACGCAGACGTTTTGTTTGTGGCGCTGGGGACGCTGTTGTTCCCTAGGTCCAGTTTTTACAAATTGCTTAAAAAAAGATTTCAGACACAGAATGAATACCTTTTTAGCTTAAGTATGCCCCGTTTGATATTTGAGATGCACTAAATTTTAAAAGTTAAAGTGAAATCCACAAAACATAAAACTAACCACTGTAAAATGCGTGATTCAGGGACTTCCCTGGTGGCACAGTGGTTAAGAATCCACCTGCCAACGCAGGGGACACGGGCTCGAGCCCTGGTCTGGGAAGGTCCCACATGCCGCAGAGCAACTAAGCCCGTGTGCCACAACTACTGAGCCTGTGCTCTAGAGCCCGCAATCCACAGCTACTGAGCCCGTGCACCACAACTACTGAGGCTGCGCTCCAGAGCCCGCAAGCCACAACTACTGAAGCCCGTGTGCCTAGAGCCTGTGCTCTGCAACAAGAGAAGCCGCTGCAATGAAGACCAGTGCAGCCAAAAATAGATAAAATAAATTTATAAAAATGCATGAGTCAGTGGCATTCGTGCATCCATGACATGTGACCGTTGCCTGTATATAGTTCTAGAACTTTCTGTCGCCCGTGAATGGTGTGTATCCTGACCTCTCCTGTTTCAAGAGGAGGCCCATGTCCATGGGAAGGCGTCTGGAGGCCAGAAGTCCCCACAGGCCTGCTCGGGGCCCCATGGAGTGGGCTCTGCCATCTTTTCCCTCCAAGGCCGGGTGGCCACTCAGAGCTGGGTCAGCCCCAGGCCTCCAGCAGGAATCGGAAACCTGAGTGGACGCGCAAAGCCAGGACCCTCGGGCGGCAGCACCTGGGCTGGGGTCTATAGGAGGGAGGTCCACGCATTCTGGGCTGCCAGCCTGCCATGCCCGCCCCCGGGAGTCTGGCGTCTGGTGGGGGATTTAACCTGGTTGAAATTGAGGGCTGGCCTTTGTCTGGCTCCAGGAGGGACCCGAGGCCCCGGGCGTCCTGATGGGAGCACCATCTGCGGGGCCGCGGCCCGTCAGAGTCCCCGATGGGGGTCACGGCGGGGCTTTGGGCTGAGTGGCATCCGCTCCCCCTCCGGAGGGGCTGGACACTGGGGGCAGCCACGTGGGTCCCACAGCCCCGGTAAAATCGGAACGCCGAGGCGGGGAGCCCCCGGCTGGCAGCACACCGTGCGTGTGCTGTCGCACGTCAGGGCCCACGGGGAAGACACTGGACGCTCGTGGTCGGGGATCTCCGGGGTCTGTCCTGCGCCCTTCCCTTGGCCGGGGTACTTCACACCCCCTCCCTGCAGTGAACCAGGACCATGAGCACAGAGCCCTGAGGGGGCTCGGGTGGTCCTCCCGGGGGGTTGTCCAACCCGAGGGGATCTCAGGGGCCTTGGACTCGTCGTCGGTGTCGGGGTGGGGATGGTCTTGAGTGCCTGATGTTGGAGGGCCCCTGAGAAAGAGAGTCCCTGCACCTGCCACCCCACCAAGCAGTAAGGGGGTTGATACCCCGCTATGAGGAGGGTCCGGGGCAGGCCGGGAGGCACCTCCAGAATAGAAAGGTTGGCGGACGGTCTTGGACGGGGCGTCCAGGATCGCCAGGGGCAGCAGGGCAGACGGGAGCCTCACGGAGGGGAAGAGGGTCTCTCGGGGTGCCAGTGAGGACAGGTAGTACCTCGCGTGCCAGGGGGCCGCCGAGTCCTTCCCAAGTGCCTTGAGTCCAGGCTCCTCGCAAGGAGCCCCGCCGTGGGTGTGCCTGCCCAGACGGCCCGGGCCCTGCCTCCCTGCCTCATTCGCTCAGCGTGACGGTGGTTTCCCTGCTGCCCATCTCAGGGCAGCCTGCCCTCCTCCTGACTCAAACGCTGCTTCTCTGTTCCTGGCACATACATCTGTCCCGACCCCACCGGGGAAAGGGGGGACCCTGAGCAGCAGAGACCTCATTTCTGCCGCATCCGGAGCCGGAGCTTGAAGTAGAGTTTCAACCCCGCGGCAGAAACACAGGGACGCGTCGTTTCCTGCACGACCCGTGGTCCTGCCTCTCGAGTTACTGAGACCCAGTGAGCCAGGGACATGGGGGACCCCTTCCTGCATCTGCGGCGGGCCCCCGCTGCACGATACCACGGCTCCAGGGCTGTCGGGTCCAGGGTTTCAGAAAAGCTTGGAGGGAGGGCGGGGGTGGCCCGATGTTGGGGGGGCGCTGCCTGCTGTGTGCCCGGGGCGCCGTCCCCTGGTCCTGCTGCACAAACAGGCCAGCCCTGTCTGTCCCTCTGTCCCTCTGTCTCCCTGTCTGTCTCTCTGTCTCCCTCCAGGAGACGAATGGGGCTGTTGGATGATTAAGTCACAGTCACACGCGTAATGAGGAACGTATCACGAGACGCGGAGAACACTCTCCAGCGATAGGAGTGCTCAAGCATTTAACGGGCATGTAGCAAGTAAGCTGCAGAGAACCGGATGTCCGAGGGGTGCCTCCTGAAACAGCCAGGGCGTAGACCTTGGGGAATGTGCGCCCCCACCAGGGCTTTCCCGCTGGGCTGGGGGCACGGGGTGGGGGGCAGCAGCTGGCCCCTAGCACTGAGCCGCCCTCCTCCGTGGGGCATGCTCCGTTAATGGAAGCCTCCCGGGGCCCCACCCCTGCTCCCAGCTGATCACGGCCTGGTGAGGTCACGGCCTCAGTGCCCACCGGCTGGTGCCCCGCTCTGTGCTCGGGAAAGTTGCCCAGCCCCTCCAGGCCTCGGTCCTCTCATCCACAAAGTGGGTGGTTCCAGGGGCTGTGGCTGCGTAGGAAATCAGTCCAAAACTTAGAGGCATGAAACGACTACAACATCGATTTCGCTCATGAGTCTGCAGCCTGCACAGGGCTTGCGGGGGGACAGCTGGTCTCTGCTCTCCTCGGCAGGAGCTGGGGCGGCTGGGACGTCGGGGCTGAGCTCCCTGAGGTCTGGGCTGTTCTAGGTCAGAGCCGGAGCCACTGAGGTCGTTAAGTACGGCGTGTCGAGGTCAGAGGAGGCCTGGACCACTGGCATTGCTTGAGGCTTAAAGGCCTGCCGAGACAGATGTGCTAAAGTAGGGCAAATGTTTCTTCTCCACACAGTTCATTTGTGCTCATTATAAAGACCTCGGTTACTATAGAGATGGGCGTCGGTGGGAAGGGAAAGCCGCACATGGAGGACCTGTGAGGCTCTGCAGTGATCAAGGAGATTCCCAGGAGACTGCTCTGGGAGATGGGCACTGCCCGGGGGGGCCAGCCACGAGGCTCTGGAAAGCCCAGAGGGTGGCCAGGGGCAGCAGCTCGCCTCTGCTGTAGAAAGCCGCCAGGACAGCGCGGACGTGAACGCTGTGTGCCTATAAAACTCTCTACAAAGTCGGGGTCAGATCCGGCCTGCGGGCCACAGCTTGCCCACCCCTGGTCTAGCGACCTTCCTGGTCTGTCTGTCTCTGGGTCTTCTTTGGTGGACATGGCCAAGAGCTATGCAAACAGTTCTTGTCCACGGAATGAACTTGGTCTGTAGGAGGGACGGTGGTGTCCCCCCCGCAGGTGGAAGGGGGCAGCTTTGCATCAGTTTGGGGGATTCACTTCAGTTCTCCCGGTAGGCCTGCTCTCGGGTCCCCCCAGGAACAGTTTGAAGTTTTATCAGCCGTTTCATTAGTTAACGGTTAAATCGACTCTCTGATACGCGTCCATTTGTATCTGTAGGTGAGTTATGCTTTTTCCCTTTTACAGAAACTGACCATTAATAGTCCCCGGGATTGGGCTTCCCTGGTGGCGCAGTGGTTAAGAATCCACCTGCCAGTGCAGGGGACACAGGTTCGAGCCGTGGTCCAGGAAGATCCCACATGCCACGGAGCAACTAAGCCCGTGCACCACAACTACTGAGCCTGTGCTCTAGAGCCCGTGAGCCACAACTACCAAGCCCACATGCCACAACTACTGAGCCCGCGCGCCTAGAGCCCGTGCTCCGCAACAAGAGAAGCCACCGCAATGAGAAGTCCATGCACTGCAACAAAGAGTAGCCCCCGCTCGTTGCAACTAGAGGAAGCCCGCGCGCAGCAGCGAAGACCCGATGCAGCCATAAATAAATAAATAAATAAATTTAAATCTATTTAAAAAACAGTCCCCGGGACCCCAGTCCCAGACACAACCGTGGTTGCCAGCTTGGTGCATATCTGCCCTCTCCCCAGCATCCCTTTAATGAAAAATCCCAGCATCACATCACAGGGCTCGTGCGCCCCAGCCACCCGTCTGCCTCGGAAACATGACGACACAGTGTGTGCATGTGGCATTCTCGCTGACTGGCCGCCCCGCATGTCCCCTGAGCTGTGATGTACTGAATTGTCATCGAATGTCTGTCATTGAAGTATTGATTCCCCCTTTCTTTTTTTTTTTTTTTTTTTCTTTGCGGTACGCAAGCCTCTCACTGCTGTGGCCTCTCCGGTTGCGGAGCACAGGCTCCGGACGCGCAGGCTCAGCGGCCATGGCTCACAGGCCCAGCCGCTCCGCAGCATGTGGGATCTTCCTGGACCGGGGCACGAACCCGTGTCCCCTGCATCGGCAGGCGGACTCTCAACCACTGCGCCACCAGGGAAGCCCCCCCCCCTTTCTTTTTTGACCCGTGAGGAATTTGTTTGAATTTCCGAGAGGCCGTTACTAATTTCTAGGGTTACTGGACACAACAGATTCCTGGGAAGTGGATTAAATAT